TGTTCTATTTTAGGGGGTCTTTAGACCAAGGGGGTTTTATGAAGTGCTGCTAACACTAAAAATAAAAAAAAAATCTGTAATATTTTAAAGCTTTTTTAAACAAATTATTGATATTAAGACAAATTTTGTCAGTAGAACACTTTTTATAACATAAATACTACTAGTGGCTTGTGGACCCCAGGTGCAACTAATCATTAATTAATTCCTTCCTTTATTTTTTACTTAAATGTCAATAAAACTTAAACAATATGTCAATAAAACAATATGTCAATAAAACTTAAACAATATGGTTTAAATTTCCTTTATTCGTTAAGTTAAATAAAGATTTGCGGCATTTGCCCCTGGGGTCCCTCGACCTCTTTACTACCCCCTACATTTGGTAATTTGTAAACTAAGTTAATTCTCTAAAATATTTTATCTTTCTAACACGGAAATAAATTTTTTAAATAAAACTTCTTTTTTATTAAATTTTAGTTTGGGGAACCTGTACTCCTCCTCCTTTACCCCATAAAAGCTCCTTGAGTTTTAAAAATGTTGTTGCTACACTCTATTTTTTAAATGTTTTTTTTTAAGTATTTTGCCTAAAATTTATTATTAATAGTTCCAATCTTCACATTATTCACATGTTTATTGACCTGGTAAATTATAGACCCGGTAGGAAATCAACGATATTATGGTACAAATATCGTCCTAAAACTTTTGAAAAGTTTATAAAAGAAAAATACATATCTAAACAAAGCATGTATTCTATAAAATGTCTTGATAGAAATTTTTTCATGAAAATATGATTTTTCCGAAATTTTTTCTGTGGAGATATGGCTTGACATAAATTTTTTCTGTGAAAAATGTTTTGACATAACATTTTTTTATGAAAAATTTTTTGACATAAATTTTTCTATGAAAAATGTTTTGACATAAATTTTTCTACAGAAAAACTATCTTGACATAAATTTTTCTATAGAAAAACTCTCTGGACAGAAATTTTTCTATAGAAAAACTGTCTGGTCAGAAATTTTTCTATAGAAAAACTCTCTGGACAGAAATTTTTCTATAGAAAAACTCTCTGAACAGAAATTTTTCTATAGAAAAACTCTCTGGACAGAACATTTTTCTATAGAAAAACTGCCTGGACAGATATTTGTTTATAGAAAATCTCTCTGGACAGAAATTTTTCTATAGAAAAACTGTCTAGACAGAAATTTTTCTATAGAAAAACTGTCTAGACAGAAATTTTTCTATAGAAAAACTGTCTAGACAGGAATTTTTCTATAGAAAAACTGTCTAGACAGGAATTTTTCTATAGAAAAACTGTCTAGACAAGAATTTTTCTATAGAAAAACTGTCTAGACAGAAAATTTTCTATAGAAAAACTGTCTAGACAGAAAATTTTCTATAGAAAAACTGTCTTGACAGAAAATTTTCTATAGAAAAACTGTGTTGACAGAAATTTTTCTATAGAAAAACTGTCTTGACAGAAATTTTTCTATAGAAAAACTGTCTTGACAGAAATTTTTCTATAGAAAAACTGTCTTGACAGAAATTTTTCTATAGAAAAACTGTCTTGACAGAAATTTTTCTATAGAAAAACTGTCTTGACAGAAATTTTTCTATAGAAAAACTGTCTTGACAGACATTTTTCTATAGAAAAACTGTCTTGACAGAAATTTTTCTATGGAAAAACTGTCTTGACATAAATTTTTCTATGGAAAAACTGTCTTGACATAAATTTTTCTATAGAAAAACTGTCTTGACATAAATTTTTCTATATTAAAACTCTCTGGACAGAAATTGTTCTATAGAAAAACTCTCTGGAGAGAAATTTGCTTTAGAAAAAGTATTTTAAGAGAAATTTTTTATAAATATTTTTTTTTTTTGACTTTTTTTCAAAAATTTCCTCTTAGGTCTTTTTTCAAAAATCTTAGCAAATTTTGTTTGTCAGTTTTTGTTATATTTTATGTTGAGGTTATTTTTAAAAATATATTTTATTTATTCATTTTCATCACTACTGTCAACCTAGACACTGTATGCTAAATAATTTTGTTGTTGTTGTTGTTCTGACAAATCATAAAAATAAATATTTTTTTTAAACATTTAATAGTTTCTGCTTTTTGTTTTTATATTTTGGTCTAAATTTCATTGTTTTTGGTAGCAAACACGTTTCAAGTAAAATGATTAATATTTTTCTTTAATTTTTAAAAATTTATCTGTTATTTTACTGGTCAATTTTTTTCTAAATAAAGATCATATTTGAAGTTTTTGTTTTTGAAATCTTTTTTTGTAAAAAATTATAAAGTTAATTAAGTAGCAGAAGAAAATAATTAATGAGGCCTTAAGATGTTTTGGAAGTTTAATTGTTAAAAACAAAAAAATGAAAGGAAACGAAAACAGTTGTTTACTTTTTATAGAAAAACTTAATTTTTAGTTGTACCAGTAAAATATTGTAATAGCAACTGAATATGTTATCAATATTAGCATTCTCCTGATAACGTAACAGATGCTTAACTAACAGCTTATTCTCACTGTGCTTATTTTAAAAACAAAATCTCTAAATGTTTCTCCTATAACTTTAGTTAATATATGCTGCCAGAAAAGTTGTTCACAGCAACCGAAAGAAGTTATTAAGGAAACTGAATAGTTCTTAATTAAAACACATGGTTGTTATATGTAATACCATGGAACCATTATTCATTGGTTATGTTTTAAAAAGCTCTAGATAGAACTTCTCTAACTTTAGTTAATATTTGCTACCACAAAATTTTGTCACAGCAACTAAATGAAGTTTTAAGGAAACTGAATCATTCTCAGTTTAACCATATTGGTTTTTATAATACTATGGAATCATTATTCTTTGGTTATGTTTAAAAAGCTCAAGCCAGTACTTTTCCAACTTTTGCAAATAGTTGCTGCAACAAATATTTGTTACAGCAAACAAAAGAAGTTATTAAAGGTACAAAATCCTTGTTAACTTAACAATTTTGATTGTTTTAATAATATGGAACCATTTTTCTTTTGTATATGTTAGAAAAGCTCTAGATAGTACTACTACAACTTTAGTAAATAGTTGCTGCAACATAAATTTGTAACAGCAACTAAAGGAAGGTATTAAAGGAACTTAATCCTTGTTAACTTAACAATATTGGTTATTTTAATAGCATGGAACCACTTTTATTTGTATATGTTGAAAAAGCTCTAGATAGTTCTTCTACAACTTAAGTAAATAGTTGTTGCAACAAAAATTTATAAGAGCAACCGAAATAAGGTATTAGAGGCAATTGAATCCTTCTGAAATTAACTATATTTTATAATTATATTGACAAGGAACCAGTTTTCTTTGTTTATGTTTAAAAAGTTGTAAATTTGTTTTCTCTGTGTACTTAAAAGCTTTAGCAAATGGTTGCTTCAATAAACATTTGAAAAAGCTGTGAAACCTAAACGTTCCCCTGATAATGAAATTGATTGTCACAACAAGCTACCTGTTCTCTAGGTGTAGTTTTAAAAAGCTTTTAGTACTTCTACTCTAGGTAGATTAAAGCTTTATCATGGTAATATCAAGGAAATTGAAAAATTTTAAATAATAATTGAAATATATCATTTTCGAATAAACTTAATTGTTTTCAAAAAAGCTCTGGATTTTTTCTCTAAGTACTTGAAAGCTTTAACAAATTGTCGCCAACATTACACATTTGTAACAGCAACTAAAAAATAGTATTAAGTAATGAAATTGATTGACACAACAAACAATATGTTCTAACGTAGTATTTATAAAAAGCTCAAAGCTTTTCTTCATTATGTACCTAATGTTTCTTCATATTAAAACTGCAAGTTGTTTGTATAAGAACTATTTAGTGACAGCAACTAAAGGAAGTTAAATTTAAAAGTTTTTTTTTCACTGTGTAGTGGTTTTAAAAAGCTATTTTCTGTTCTCTCACTCTCTCGGTACTAGCTAAAGCATTAAACAAATTAATCTGTTTGCAAATGTACACAATCTTTAATGATTTAATTAAATTGATTTGAGTCATGCATACATTTCTACAACAACAAATACATAAATATGAACTTTATCTCCATAGGGAATTGTTTATTAAAATTATATGACTCTTATTGGCATTTTGATTTAAATTAATTACCACTTCAATGAACTCGGTATTTTTAATCATATATTTTTTAAAGGCAAATTCCCCTTAAAGTGATAATAAAAAAAGCAAATTAACAGCTTAAGTATCAATACCAAACAATCAATATGATTGTAATAGAAAAACTGTTTAAATTAAATAGGAAAAAGTTGAAAAGCTTTTAAGGTTTATTTGTGTTTTTTTATTTGTTCTTAAAAAATCCAAATCTCTAACAACAATTCTAGTAATATTAAGAAGCTTATCAGTTTTTTGGCAAAGCACTAGCATAACAATAACTTAGAAACGGGCAAAAAAAAAAAAAAAAACAAATAAACAAATAAAAGCTTTCGTTTTTTGACAATTTTTTTTTTCTTTAGCTTTAGATAAAATAACAAATTAGTTTATTATTTTGTCCAAAAAGAAAGAAAGAAGCGAAAAATAAACGACACACATTTATTTATTGAATCATTTAACATTTCAATACCAGTCTCTACACGAGTCAAGTCCAGCAACTTTGGACAAGAAAAAATAATAAAATTTAAATACAATATTTAAATCTAAACTGCAACAACAATAATACAATAGCCGCCGTCATTAACTTATAATAAAAAAAAAAAAACAAAATTTACAATGCAAAATCTAAACTAAAAAATTTAACAATAAAATTTTAACTTTAAGCGCCTTTCGTTAAAAAAATGCATTTACCAGCGAAATAGTTTACTCTCAACCGTGTTAATGGAAACACTAAATATCAAAATAGTTTTAGTTAAACAGTTAACCAATGTTAAAGAAAATTGTAAAGCTTTTTTTAAAATTCAGCAGGTTTTTAAAATTTAAAGAACATGGAGAAAAAAATTAATAAAATTTTAATTTCTTCCCCACTTGTAGATTCCTGTGTAACGGGCAATAAATCACCTAGAGCTTCCAGCATTTACTCTAAAACTTTGCCATTTCAACAGAAACTATCACCGGCTGAGCAGCAATATGAATCGTATGTTAAGGCTACTGTGGCGGCCAATGCTAAGTCACCAGTGGAGGAATTACTTTCACCACCTACACCACCACCACGACGTCATACCTTAACGGCAAAATTATCTTTAACCAGTCCACCCACTGCCCTAACCTCGACCGATAGCGCTCAATCGCCTGGTTCAGATAAGGTTTTATCTAGTTCTTTGTCTTCGCCGATTAAGGAGGCTGGTGTAGCAGCGGCGGCCGCAGCAGCAGCTGCTGCTGCTACTTCTACAGATGCCCAAACTTTGTTCAATATACGCCAGCAAATGGCCTTGAGTTTGAAGCGAATGAAGGATTTAGAGGAGCAGGTTAAAACTATACCGGATTTACAGGTAAGCTTAAGCATACTTTAATATAAAGAAAGCTTTGAAAGTTAAAATAGTGTAAACAGAAACTTAAGGCTTTTTGAAAGCTTATTAGGAGTGAAGTTTTTGAAAAAGTGTCATTCAACCATTTCGGAAGTTTATACTTTTTAGTTTAAGCTAAGCTTTTAAGCATCCCTTAGATAAATTAAAGCTTAGAAAAGCAACGATAAAGCTTTATTGTACAAAAGAGGAAGAAAAAAGGGGGACACCCAAAAGCTTTTGCCTCTCAATTCAAACTCAGCTATTTAGCATCCACTTCAAAAAGTTTTAATTCTTTAATCAAGCTAAGCTTTTAACTATCCAAAGCCATTAATTCCTAATCCAAGTTAAGCTTTTAAGCATTAATATCATACTTTAATCAAATTAAAGCTAACGAAGGGAATAATACGGATTTAACGTATAGTAGACGGAGAAGAAAAGAGAAATTCAAAAGTTTTATATCTAAAACAAAACTTTTAAGCATTAAGCTTAGAAAGCACGAATAAATGATATATTATCAAGATTCCGTTGATAGTAAGACTTTAAAGTATTCATTCATTCATTCTTTAAAGAAATTAAAGCTCATAAAGGGAATAATAAGGATTCAGCGTATAGTAGACGGAGAAATATAGAGGAATTCAAAACTTTTAAGCATTTAGCTTAGAAAGCTCTAATAACACATTTATATATTACAAAGATTTTGTTGATAATTAAGCTTAAGCATATGATAAAGTCCGGTTGCTATCAATTCAAACTAAGCTTTAAAGCTTTCATTTCATTAATTTTGATAATAAAGCTTTAGCATAGGACAAAGAGCTGAAGAAACGCTTTTAGGAACTAGCAATTCAAACTAGGCTTAAAGCTTTTATTTCATCAATTTTGAAAATAAAGCTTAAGCATAATAAAGAACTGACAAGAATCTTTATATAGACTTTACTACAGTTAAATCGATATAGAATCCAATTATTGCCTATTTGATCCAAAATTTCTAATTCCTTCCTTTTCTTCCTTACAGAGTGAACTCTCCCAACTGCGCGAAGAGAAACAACGCCTACAACAGACTGTCAAAAGCAAAGAGGAAGAACTACAAAAGGCCAAAGAAGCCACACGTTTCTCTTCCTCACCTAGTCCAGTACTTAGTCCGAAAATAACATCACCCGTACAATTTCAACCGCAAAGAGTAAGTCCTATTTCTTTAGAAAGTATGGGCGCTAGAATGCAATCGAATAACAAAAAATCACCCATATTAAAGCGGGATGTAGCGACCATGTGCAGCAAACAAACTACACGGGATATAGCCGTAGGAAGTCCCATACCGGTACAAAAAACCCAACGAGATGTAGGCTGTAATGCTGCGGTAACGAAAAATATTACGGAGAATTTATATACTAAAACCGAAGTAGAGGAACGTATCAGATTGTCCATACACCAGCATGAAGAGGAAAAGAAATTGGCGAGATTAAAAGATCTAATATCCGTGGGCACCCAGATGTATGTTCCGAAAAAAGACACTAAAGATAGTGGGGCTCAAACTAAAGCCGAGAAGCCGGTACAAAAACACAATGTCAGCGTAATGGCCCAACCGACAACACGTGAAAGTTTTACTAACTGCAAACCAGACGTAAAGACGGTGGGCTGTTCAAATGATCGCGTGTCAGATGTATTGTGTGAGAAATGTTTAGTCACGAAACGTACTGTTGCATGCGCTACCGAAGATGAAACGAAAGGGGAAACAGCCAAAACAGTCTCTCTTAAGTTATTGGACATGCCGGCTCGTAGTAATACTTTCAGTTTGGGTGATAATGAAAAGTTGAATATAGCGAAGAAGACTATAGGAACCCAATATACACCCATAGTACAGCATTCGGCAGGAAGTCAAACAACATCTATACAGCAGCACACGGTGGGGCTGCAGTTTTCACCACAACAGCAAAACACCAGCACACAATTTGAGCTGTACACTGTGGCGAGACAGACGGATACTAGGGATTTGATAAGACTGTGTACTTCCCAAACTAATACAGAAGAAATAGCACCACCCACCCCCGTAAAGGAGGAAAAACCTGAACCTGTTAAACCGGTTCTACACACAAAGGGTTGTAATACCGAGATTAAGAATTTCAAAGATCATGGTGTCAATACCCAGCCGCCCGTCACTACCAACTCCACTTCCTGCAATACCGAGGAAATACACAAACGTGATATAGCCTGTGGCGATATAGTCAAGCCCCATATTTCAATAGCTTGTGCCGATAATTACTGTGATTCTTGCAAAGATGCCATTAAAAATTTAGCTAAAGATTTCTCGAAAGTGCTGGCCAGTCCGCTACCCACAAGAGCTGCCGAATCAAAAATACCACGTCCCAAAAATCTGCCCAGTCCTAGTCCGGTGAGAAGGCAATTCTCGCGCCAGAACACCTATACAGTGACACCCTCTCCAACACCCAGTCCAGTGTCGGAAAAGAAAAATATGGCAAGGTAAGTTCCACTATATATAGTGAAGTCACTCTACTAGTTTTAGTGGCGACAACAACCTTTTGAATTGGGTGCTAGTGCGAGTGGTGAATAGAGGTGACTAGCACAATTACTCACTGACCTAGTCTATACAAAATATATAAATATTCAATTATTCCGGTTGGTTAGAGTCATGGCAGAGTTTCCGAGTGTTGCGTTATTGGAATTATTTAAGGGATTTAGAAAACGCCCAGGTATTTCCCTTGTTTTCCAGAGACTAAACTTTTCATTAAGACAATTGTCACTAAAATGGATGTAACTGTTTGTGATCGGTAAGGATCAAAGATTTAAGGAAAGAAGATCGATAGATAAAGCTTTTTATAAAGCTTTGTTTAATTAAATTTCGGGCAATTCCTGAAAAAAGATCCTGCTGCATAGGGATTTGAAACTAAGAGTTCATGAAACTGTTGTGGACTTGATAGCATTTATCCAATTAAAACTCAGATCAGTTTGATGTAAAGAAGCTTTTTTATCCGCCTTTTACTTTGGTTTTGATAAGAAAGTACTTTGCTTTAAATTTTATTTTGCAAACTTCCCTTCTTTAGCCAACCACATCTATACCCTGGCAATCACTTGTACTGCGCAGCTGCAGTAAAAAGTTTAGCTCCCGTAAACAGCAAAGGAACCCCAACTAGGAAAGCAAAACAATAGCTATGACCTTCGCAGTAAAGTTTTTGTTGGCTTTCGAAAGCTTTGCAACATAAAGCGTATATTTCTCAAAAACATAATATTTTCATATAATTTTTGCAACAATAAGTTCTAGTCCTTAAAAGCGAATCAAATTTCCTTTAAAAATAAAAAAATCTGCAAAAACAAACTCTAATGTTTTGGAGTCTCAGCAGTTTTACTTGCTATCCTTTGATAGTAAGTGGCTGCTCGGCCTTGGTGTTCACGTAAATACTTTAATTTTAATAAAATAATCAAACTACATTTTCTTTTTTCCCCTCAGTTCCTTGCAAGAAAAATCCTCCTCCTCGTCAGCAGCATTTCATCAATTGGAATCGTCAGGTGAATCTCAAAGTTTTATAACCGAGCCAGTAACTTTAAGTGCTATAACCACACAAAAACCCAAAACAACCACCGCCGCAACAACAGCAGCAGAGGAAAAATTAGCCTCATCATCGAATAGCTCCCCAGAGGGTTCGCCACAACGTAAATCCCTGTATGACCTCAGTAAATTGGGTGATAATGAGCTCATAGTTAGAGAAGAGAAACGTGTAAGCATTAGCTGGTCTAGAGACAATTCACCAGCTCCCACTCCATCAACAACCACAACAGCTAGTGCTAATCAAAAACCCTCTACCGAGGAGGATAAATTAAAGGCACAAGAAGAGCCCTCACTAGCAGCAGCTGCTGCAGTATGTGCCAAGGAAATTTCTCAAGGAGCACGCAAGAAAACTTTACCCTCACCCTTGAAATCTAGTCATGAAAGTAAGAATAAAACCGAAAACCCACAAAAAGAAGCAGAAGAAGAAACTGTACAGAAACCCTTACCCTCCAAGGCTTTGTTACAAAAAATCGCCATGAAAGAAACAGAGCCTAGGAAGAAGTAAGTTTTAAAATCTCTTAAAATAATACCTTTATTAAATGTTTCCTCCTTTTTAGAATCACTCCCCCTAAAGATATGTTAGCCGCTTTGAAAGCCATCAACAATTCTTTGTTGAAAAAATTGGGCTCCAAACCCATTTCATCTTTGAGTTTAAAGAGCTCCAAACAAACCATACAACAGGAATGGTTCCGCTTATCCAGCTCTGAGAATGCCGATCCCCATGAAGTTGAAGATTATTTGGATTGTTTTGAAGATTATCGGTGCCATTATTAGAATACTGTGTTAATATGTGGATGCCAATGTGAGTAGACTTATTATATCATAAATATTTTAGTTTAGTTCAATTCTAGATCAGTTATAGTTTAGTTCTAAGAGTTAATTTAGTTTTTATTCAGTTCTAGTTAGTTCTAGTTCAGTTCTAGTTCAGTTCTAGTTCAGTTCTAGTTCAGTTCTAGTTCAGTTCTAGTTCAGTTCTAGTTCAGTTCTAGTTCAGTCTAGTTCAGTTCTAGTTCAGTTCTAGTTCAGTTCTAGTTCAGTTCTAGTCAGTTCTAGTTCATTTCGTTCTAGTTTCAGTTTCTAGTTCAGTTATAGTTCCGTTCTAGTTCAGTTCTAGTTCAGTTTCTAGTTCAGTTCTAGTTCAGTTCTAGTTCAGGTTCTGTTCAGTTCTAGTTCAGTTCTAGTTCAGGTTCTAGTTCAGTTCTTAGTTCCGTTCTAGTTACAGTTTAGTTCAGTTTCAGTTCCGTTCTAGTTCAGTTCTAGTTCGTTCTAGTCAGTTCTAGTTCAGTTCTAGTTCAGTTCTAGTGTCAGTTCTAGTTCAGTTCTAGTTCAGTTCTAGTTCAGTTCTAGTTCAGTTCTAGTTCAGTTCTAGTTCAGTTCTAGTTCAGTTCTTAGTTCAGTTCTAGTTCAGTTCTAGTTCAGTTTCAGTTCAGTTCTAGTTGTTCTAGTTCAGTTCTAGTTCAGTTCTAGTTCAGTTCTAGTCAGTTCTAGTTCAGTTCTAGTTCAGTTCTAGTTCAGTTCTAGTTCAGTTCTAGTTCAGTTTAGTTCAGTTCTAGTTCAGTTCTAGTTCAGTTCTAGTTCAGTTCTAGTTCAGTTCTAGTTCAGTTCTAGTTCAGTTCTAGTTCAGTTCTAGTTCAGTTCTAGTTCAGTTCTAGTTCAGTTCTAGTTCAGTTCTAGTTCAGTTCTAGTTCAGTTCTAGTTCAGTTCTAGTTCAGTTCTAGTTCAGTTCTAGTTCAGTTCTAGTTCAGTTCTAGTTCAGTTTAGTTCAGTTCTAGTTCAGTTCTAGTTCAGTTCTAGTTCAGTTCTAGTTCAGTTCTAGTTCAGTTCTAGTTCAGTTCTAGTTCAGTTCTAGTTCAGTTCTAGTTCAGTTCTAGTTCAGTTCTAGTTCAGTTCTAGTCAGTTCTAGTTCAGTTCTAGTTCAGTTCTAGTTCAGTTCTAGTTCAGTTCTAGTTCAGTTCTAGTTCAGTTCTAGTTCAGTTCTAGTTCAGTTCTAGTTCAGTTCTAGTTCAGTTCTAGTTCAGTTCTAGTTCAGTTCTAGTTCAGTTCTAGTTCAGTTCTAGTTCAGTTCTAGTTCAGTTCTAGTTCTAGTTCAGTTCTAGTTCAGTTCTAGTTCAGTTCTAGTTCAGTTCTAGTTCAGTTCTAGTTCAGTTCTAGTTCAGTTCTAGTTCAGTTCTAGTTCAGTTCTAGTTCAGTTCTAGTTCAGTTCTAGTTCAGTTCTAGTTCAGTTCTAGTTCAGTTCTAGTTCAGTTCTAGTTCAGTTCTAGTTCAGTTCTAGTTCAGTTCTAGTTCAGTTCTAGTTCAGTTCTAGTTCAGTTCTAGTTCAGTTCTAGTTCAGTCTAGTTAGTTCTAGTTCAGTTCTAGTTCAGTTCTAGTTCAGTTCTAGTTCAGTTCTAGTTCAGTTCTAGTTCAGTTCTAGTTCAGTTCTAGTTCAGTTCTAGTTCAGTTCTAGTTCAGTTCTAGTTCAGTTCTAGTTCAGTTCTAGTTCAGTTCTAGTTCAGTTATAGTTCAGTTCTAGTTCAGTTCTAGTTCAGTTCTAGTTCAGTTCTAGTTCAGTTCTAGTTCAGTTCTAGTTCAGTTCTAATTCAGTTCTAGTTCAGTTCTAGTACAGTTCTAGTTCAGTTCTAATTCAGTTCCAGTTCGATTTGACTTCCAATCAAAAGTTTGACCCCGAATCGAACTCAAATTTTACTTATAGTCGAAGTGATTGAAAATCGGTTCGAAATCATTTTGTAGTAGAAATTGATCTTTATTGAAAGTTTTCTCAGATTTTGATTCATTAAAGAAATATTTTATCAAAAATTTTCTGATTCTTTTATTATAGGGCAACACCGCTATGCATTATGCTGTTTCGCATGGTAACTTTGACGTTGTATCCATATTGTTGGATTCAAAGGTTTGCAACGTAAACCAAATGAATAACGCAGGATACACCAGCGTTATGCTCGTTTCATTGGCAAAATTGAAAAATGCAGAACATCGTACCGTCGTTGAACGACTGTTTCAGATGGCTGATGTCAATATACGAGCTAAAAAGGTAGGTAACGGATGGAAAACTTTTTCGGAATAAATGAAAATATGTTTTATTCAAATATAGCATTGCCAAACAGCTTTGATGCTAGCTGTGTCGCATGGTAATCTGGAAATGGTTCAACTACTATTGGCAGCTGGAGCTGATATTAATATACAAGATGAAGATGGCAGCACTGCTCTGATGTGTGCTGCCGAACATGGTCGCAGTGATATTGTTAAACACTTACTAACTCATCCCGATTGTGATTCATTAATACAAGATGTGGTAGGTTTTATATTGTGTAAACTTTTGGTAATTTTTTTTTTTTAATATTTCTTTATTTCCCTTTAGGATGGCAGCACCGCTTTTAAGATCGCCTGGCAAGCGGGCCATCGTGATATTGGCATTTTCTTGTATGTCCATGAGCAAATGTTGCGCAGCAAAATGCCCAACCGAGGTGAAAATTTGACCTTAAAACGCAGTCCACCCGCCACTTCACCACGTTATACCCACAAAAGGCAGCCCTCTAAATAAGGCATTTGAAGAAGGTTCATTTATTTTGAAATATTTGAATTCTGAAAAACATTATTTAAAAGCCAGTGTTAAGTTAGTTAAACAAACGAACAAAGTTTTTTAGTTTTTAATTTATTTAAACTCAATTTAAAGCATTTTGAATGCCAGATAAATTTAATAAATAATGAAAACGAAAATTGCAAGAAAACACAGAAACACCTGTTGATAAGAAGCCTCTACATTCCAATCCTTTAAAAATTAAAGCAATTAGTTCGAAATTTCAAAGAACTAAGGACAACGAATCAAGCGATCAAACGATAAAATAGGTGTTTTCTAAATAATTAAGAACATTTCTTTAAAAAAAGCGCACAATTGCATAATAACAAATTTTTGCATAATATTTTTTCTTAAATAAAAGCACAAATAACAATTCTACAAATTTTATAAAAAATAATTAACAACACAAGTCCCTCCAATAAATGTTTTTAAAAGCATGAAAAATTAACACAAAAACAAAATCGGGTTCTTAAACAAAATCTATTAACTTAAACGAAATTCTAAATTTAAGAAAATTTTAACACAAAAAAAAAAAAAAAAAAAAAAATTACAAAAAAAAAATAAGAAAAAATTTCTAAAAGTTACAAAAAATTAATACAAAATTTTACTTACTAATTTATATAACCAGGCATTTGTTTAAATATTTTTTTAAGTTTAAAAACGTTAAACGCTATTTTTAATTTAGTTCTAAAATTTAATTAAAATTTAGTTTAAATTTAATTTTTTTCGTTTTAAGTTTTAATTTTAATAATTTTAAATAAATATATCTAAAAAAACCAACAAAACTCTTGTTAACCCCACAAATCATATCAAAAACAAATGACAAATCTATTGGCAACAATTTTTTTTATGGAAAATAGTGTTCATCCTAAGTAGTTTATTAATGTTTAAAATAAAACAAATTTTACTTAAGTAGTAGAGATGCAACACTTTTTCTTTAATATTTACATGAAAAAGCTAAAAAAAAAAAATATTACAAATTTTTAAATAAAAAACAAATGTATTCTGTAGTTTTAAATATTGTTAAAAAAAATATAAAAAATTTTACCATAAAAACAAACAAATACTTTAAATTATTTTATAGTAGTTTTAATAAATAAAAAAGAAACATTTTGAAAAATATAAAAAGTGAAATTTTAATCTTAATTTTCCCTTATAAACTGTCTTTAAGTAGCAGAAAATGTTTCTTAAATCAACACCTTGCATTAGAAGCTAATTTCATTCATTACGTTTAACTAAAGATAATATCACCAATTTATAAAGCTTGGCAACACTGGCATTTCCATACAGTTTGTAATTTAAGTTCATACCTTTCATTTGAGTCTAATTTCATTCATAATACTTCAGTACTTTTAGAGTTATAGTCCTTTAAAGAAAGTCACTAAAACACCGCAAATTTATACACATTGGCAACACTGGCAAAAGAAATTTTATAAAAAAACATATTAAAAAATTTAATAGCTAGCGATTGACATAAGTTTTAAGCAAAACCGCTAAGAATTTTCAAAGTTATAGCCATTTAAAAAATTCCTCAATATAGTAAGTTTTCTAAACCTTGGCAACCCTGTTACTGCAATCACTACTTTATAGTTAACTAGAGTAAATTATAATCCAGCGATTGCCACCAGTCTCAAGCAAATCGGTTAAGTATTTTCCAAGTTATAGCCATTTTTAAAATCCCTTTATTTACCCAATTTCCTAAATATCGGCAACCCTGTTACTACATGGTGTCAGCGCCATCTATTGGTTGGGTATAATTGTTTTTCTGCAAGTGAAAAAATTAGGGAAAAATAGACAAATTTTCAAAACGCTATAACTTAAAAACTACTTAACCGATTTCGATAAATTTTATATGCTATGATAGCAGATAAATTCAAAATTTTAAAACTTTAATTTCCCGAGTTGCCAGATTGCTTGTTTTGTTATATTTTAAAGAGAATGAAACACTACTTCCTAATGCTATAACTTTGTTATTATTTGATTGTAACTTTTAAAATTACAGTTTCTAAATAGCAATAAATTCAAGCTAAACAACACAATTTAGATTTCCAGAGTTGCCCTGCGCTTTTACTTAAAAAGTGCAAAATTTCGAAAATTGTTTTTTTACAAAGAAGTAAATATGTGACACAAAAAGACAAATTAACAAAACGGCATAACTTTAAATGTACTGAACCGATTTCGATAAAGTTTATGCAAACTAATAGGGAATACAATTTAGATTTCAAAAATTTATTTTGGCAGAGTTGCCAGATTGCTAGATTTGTTGTATGGTATACATAAAGAATAATACTTCAAATGGCTATAAATTGTCTATTAGTTGATTCTACATTTTAAAATTATTGCTTTCAAGGTCAGAGGAATCAAAGAAAACAAAAAAGTTTGGATTACCAGAGTTGCCAACAGGTTACATTAAAAAATTTCTAAAATTTTTTAAATATGCTAAATATTTACAATTGGAGACAAGATTTTAGTTTTAATTAGTTACTTTGACTAAATTATTACAAAATTTTATTTAACAGAGTTGCCAGCTTGTTTAAAATCAAATTTTTACAAAATTATAAGGCGGCTGCTGTTTTTTAAGGTGTAAAGTTTAGAATTTGTAATTGAACCTGTCTTATTAAGCCAAATCTAAAAAATCATTTTTTTCTATAAACAACTTGGCAACTCTGCCCGGAAAATATTTGAGAGTTAAGTACGGAATCTTAGCTAATCAAAACAATCATTAGAAAATCTTTATCTATTCACCTTTAAATGTTTAGCCCTGAAACGTAAGTGTACTTTATTTAACAATAAAATCAAAAATAACACTCTGGCAACCCTGGTGAAATAAATTTTATACAACTACAATTTATGGCCTACAATATGATATATATCTCAACAAAATCGGTTCAGTAGTTTTTAAGTTATAGCGTTTTGAAAAATTGTCTCTAACGACCATATTTTTTTGTTTGCCGAAAAACAATATACCCCAACAATAGATGGCGCTGTACCGATGTCGTGACAGGGTTGCCACATTTTGAAAAATGTAACAAGATAAGGTATTTTTAAAATTGTTATAACTCCGGAAATACTTAACCGATTAGCTTGAAACTAGAGTCAAACGCTAGCTAATAATTTATACTATTTATTTTAGATAAAAATTATTCCACCAGTGTTGCCAGACTTTACAAGTTTGTTCATATTTATTAACTTTTTTGAAATTACTATGACTTGTGAACTACTTAAGCAATTAGCTTGAAACTGACGTCAAACTTTAAATAATGATTTCGTCTATTTGTTGTATGAAATATTTGCTTTACCAGTGTTGCCATATTCCATAAATTTGTTATATTATTAACCAATTAGTTATTTTTTGCAATGTTATAACTTCGAAGCTATTTTAGCGTTTAGGTTGAAACTACATTCAAACACTAGACAATATTTTAGGCTAATTGTTTTTTCTAAAAATGGTATTACCAATGTTGCCAGATTATATAAATATATTACATTATATAAACTTTTTGAAATTGCAATAATTTTGATACTACTTAAGAAATTTGCTTAAAACTAACTTCAAACGATAGATATTAATTTAGGGTATTGGTTTTATGCAAACTTTGTCTAACCAGAGTTGCCAAATTTCAAAATTTTGTACTATTATTAACAAAATAAGGTATTTTAATAATTGTTATAACTTTGAAGGTATTTAACTGATTTGCTTGTTATAACTTTTGAAATACTTAACCAATTTGCTTGAAACTAAAGTCCAACGCTAGCTAATAACTTATTTGATTTGTTTTTGTAAGGTCTTGGTCAAGGGTTTTATAAACTAGATTTTAAAGGTAAGCGTGTAACAGCTTTTACAGTGGATCCATTGGAAACACAAGAGACCATGGTGCACATAGAGGCGTATATTCTTTGCCTGAGGTACAGAAATGCCTTAATAAGAGAAAAGGTAAAATATTATAAAGTTATTTTTTTAAGAAATTGTTCATTCTCTCTTACAATTTTTAGTTTTTGGTTCTTTAAAGCCTGGATTATTTATCGTTGTGGCTGATGATGGTGAGAATCTATGATTATGGTGTGATCACCATCAGGCTTTTTAAACATCGTATAAAACCAATACAAATAGAGATATACTTAAGATAATAACAATAATATGAAATAAAGATACAAATAAACAAAATTTTTTAGTCTTTTATTCAGTTGGAAAATTGAAAGAATTCCACTTCAGTTTTAGATCAATTCTTTTCAGTTCTAGTTCAGTTTTAGTTCTGTTATGGTTCTGTTCTTGCCTTGATTTTTTGATTAAATATTAGTCTCAGGTCTACTATGAGTGCATTTTCAGATTCAGCTTAAGTACTAATCTTGAACGTAAAATTTTTGGAGCTCTAGGCCTCAAGACCCCGATATAATACCACAAATTGATTAAAATAAAAAAATTTCGGGAATTTTGATGAAACATTGGTCCCAAGTCCATTCTGAGTCCATTTTTGGATTCAGCATGCGATTTTACCAGAAAGGTGAGTTTCCAGCCAGATTCGGCCAGTAGTTTCCGAGTTTGAAGCAAAAATAAAAAAAAAATCAGAAATTTTGATGAATGTTGGACCTAGGACCCATACTACAACAAAATTTCAAATTTATTTTTTTGTTTGCTTTTATCTCGAAAACTACTGGCCGAATCTGGCTGGAAAGTCACCTTTCTGATAAATTCGCACGCTGAATCCGAAAATGGACTCAGAATGGACCTAGGTCCATTGCTTCATCAAAATTCCCGAAATTTTTTTAATTTGTACAATTTGTGCTGGTATTTCGGGATCTTGAGGCCGAGTGAGGCAGAAATTCGTCATTTAAGACTCAAATCTATGCTGAATCCGAAAATGGTTTCAGAATTGAGCTAGGTCCAATATTTCATAAAAATTTCAGAACAAAAATTTTGAACCAAATATCCCACGAAATTTCTTTTCGCATCAAGATTTTGCAAATATGTGAGGTTCTTGTCTAGGCTAGCAAATGTTTCAATAGTCAAGACAAGAACCCCCAAATATAGAGGAAATTTTGAGATAACAATAAATTTTGTGGTAAAATCGGTCGGAAATTCTGTTCGGAAATTTTGATGAAATATTAGTCTCAGGTCCACTATGAGTGCATTTTCAGATTCAGCTTAAGTACTAATCTTGAATGTAAAATTTTTGCAGCTCTAGGTCTCAAGACCCCGATATAATACTACAAATTGCTTAAAATAAAAAATTCTCGGGAATTTTGATGAAATATTGGTCCCAGGTCCATTCTGAGTCCATTTTTGGATTCAGCATGGGATTTTACCAGAAGGGTGAGTTTCTAGCCAGATTCGGCTAGTAGTTTCCGAGTTTGAAGCAAAAAATAAAAAAAAAAATCAGAAATTTTGATGAATGTTGGACCTAGGACCCATACTACAACAAAATTTCAAATTTAATTTTTTGTTTGCTTTAATCTCGAAAACTACTGGCCGAATCTGGCTGGAAAGTCACCTTTCTAGTGAATTCGCACGC